TATTCTCACCAAATACCATGAGATTATGGCCAGTGGTCGTCCAGATGTCTTGCTCTGAAAATGTTGAAAGACCAATATCGCCATCCTTAAGCTGCTTCATTAGAACTGCTTGTTGAATGGTTTAAACAGCATCTGAAACCCCGTCTCTCCACACCTTTATGTCATTGCATTCTGGGAAGCTGTGCCTGACCATTTCTGTAACTTTCTGAAAGCTTTGAAAGGAGAGATGGCCTGAAAATGTCACGGTTTTCCCCATATTTAATGATTGTTGCATCTCCCACTTCTCTATGACAGCCAGAGGTTCAGAACAGCTATAAACACTTCCGTCATGATTGGAGAACACCTCGTATGAACTAGTTGTTTTCGAGCATAACCCAACTATGACTCGCAGCTAGCTGGAAAAACACTGGCAAAGGTTTGGGAATTTGACATCATCCAAGTGCTAGTACAACCTCCAATGCCAGTAACAGATGATTGTTGACAAGTTGTGATGCAGGCTACCTTTCCGTTCTTTAGGGACGTCCTGGCAGACCTGGTGTAAAGTTTCTAATAAAGTAGCTTGAAAATGCTTGCTACTTAGTTTGCTACTTTGCTTGTTAGCTAATATGCAAGCTAACTGTATTTTGTATACATTATTTACTTTTACACAGGTTCTGTTTTGGTGCTGATGAAACTGGATTTTCAACAGTTAGTCAACTTCCTGTTTCAACAGGTTTCAGTGTTTCTATCCGCAGAGCTCCTGCTCAGCAGCTCCCGACACTTTTAGCTGAAATGACGGCACAATTGGGATACTAAAGTAGACATACACGTTTCTTATAAAGTTTACCATTTCTTCATACTGGGAACCATAACATAACAATGCATCAATACAAACTTTGAGATAAACTGTTTAAGAAAAACTACAATGTACCCGGTTCGATTCCATTGTTGTGTGTAGTATCCCCTCTCCCACCTCATTTCCTTTATATCTCTATTGCCCACTGTCCAAAAAGGTAACAATGCAGTCGTCCCTCCCCAGTTGTGGTGATTTTAAGGAAACCTGAAAAAAATGTATCCGTCTTAATCAACCAGCCATTTTACTTTATATCCCATATTAGGAGATTTTACTTCTGCAGTTGATGCTCTGGCTTCCAGGTGAGCTGCTTCCAGCAGTATTTTTGCATATTAAGGTGATTGCAAAAGCCTTAGGTACAGTGTTGGTCACTCTATCCCCCTGTGCTCTCTGACTTCCTCCTGTCTCTGTCAGCCGTCTGAGATATACCCTGAAGCTCATAGCTCTGCTGTGCTGATGTGACTGGACAAATTAGCATTACTCCTGCTAATATATTCAAACTGCTGCCGAGCAGCTGCAGAGGACATTGAGCAGTATTAGAAATGATAGGCCTGACTGTCAGCGACGCTAACCACTCCTGAAAAGGTGACAGCACATTTGGCTGCTATTTGCTGGGGGAGAGAAAAAAATACCTACAAGTTTAACTTTGGGGCATTTTGATCTTTAATTCATACGGGATGTGGAAAATGTGTTTGGTCTATTCACATCTCAAAAGAGTCATTCTGACGAGAGAAACATTCTGCGGAGATCATCTCACGCCATCTCGCCTTCAACACTTTGATGATTTTGTACTTTTCTTGGTGCCAGCCTCCTCATTGACAAACTATCCTTTCATAAAAAGCTCAGGGAGAAACAACTCCACGCCGCTCCTGTCGAGTGCTTATGCACGCAAACGCTGAATATTTGAGGCGACTCCTGGATGTGTTTTATGCAGACAACATCTGACAGGCCTGAAATGAAGCCAGGGCAGATATGAAAGCAGGCACTGTCTGTCAAAACCAGGAAATAATCAACCCCCCCACATCCACCTCAGGGGCCCAGCTGAAAGTCATTAGCTCAAAACAATGTGCTGCTTCTACTGTTAGTCTAAAAAAAATAATAACAGTAATAATACTTAGGAGAATTACCATAACGATTTGAGAGGATCTCAATTATCTGGTGTGTTTTGAGCCGGGCTGTGGAAGATTGCAGCTCGGTCACTGTCAGGGGCGTGGACCGGCTGCACTGTAGGAATATTTAGGGAAAATTGGTAAGCAATTATGCTTCAGCCTTGATTGTAATAGCCAACTGTGATTACCCCTCTCTAATCCTATTAGCCTTTGTTTGAAACATGGGATGAAAAACATTATATATGAAAAGAGCATTTAAAAATCATAAAACTACATCCATATGCTTTAAGTGTTTGGCGAGACATCACAACTTCAGCTCAGTGTATTGATGTTGTTATAGCAAGTGAATTTAAGTGACACAACACAACTCCAGTCTAAATTTAAACACCACACAGAAGAAATCAATATAAAAATCAAATATATGTTTATCTGCAATATTACAAGCAAAAGTATAAAACACATTCTTACATGAAATCAAAATTAATATTTACATTTGATCAACCTGTGCTAAATACAATGAGTGAACATAATTTCTCCTTCAATATAAAGCAACAGTAAGTACGTGCCATATTGTCATTGACATGTGGTCTGTATCTGGATATTTTATCTGGGTCAGGAAAAACACAAGTTAAAGCTGATGTAAATGCACACAGTATGCACAGCAATCACAAAACAATCAAAGGTCACCTGCTACTGTACAGTGTGCAGGACATAGGTCTTAGGTAGCCAACTAGCACTGGTGCTAGCAAGCTTCTCTACTGGCTCTGATTATCTTCTTACAGTATAAAAGTGCCTTCACACCAAACACACAAGATCTACATTGCATCACAAACATAAATTTTCCACCATGTTTTGCAGGCAAAGTTCAAATTAATTTTACTTTGAACATTGATGGGAGGCTGAAGTTATGGCGGTAACAATTTTACTGTAAAGAAAAAAGAGAGGACAAAAAGTAAAGTTAAAGGTCCCATATAGTCTAAAGGTAGATGTCCATGTGTTGTTTGATTATAAAGCAGGTCTAAGTTCTATATTAATACTGCGAAAGTATCAAAGCCTCAGTCCGCAGGGAAATGCACACAGCCTGTATTCAGAAACTGAGCCTTAAAACCAGCCGTCAGTACGTCTGTGACTTTGTGATGTCACAACAAAGAAGTCATCAAGCCACCTGGACCCACCATTCAACCTTGCAGGATTTGGTTTCTTTGAGTGTTTTACCTGAAATCTGCCATATTTTCATTCGACCTGTTGTTACTAGAACCCCAGAGAAAAGCCTGAGATGTAAAACGACATTGAGACTACAAATATATCTTCTTATGGATATCAAAACTTCATACAAAACACAGAAAGGTGTAAAATATGGGACCTTTGATGCTGAATTCCCAGAGTTCTGTGATGCTACTCTGCAGTGAGGAAAACTCTCAAGCATCAAAGAAAATGTCAGGGAAGATGAGGATATCAGGTTAAATAATTGATTAATGCAGCAAAAACAACCAGAGATATACATTTTTTTGTCAAAACCTGGTGCCTAGATTACCCACAATACAATTGGATGTGTTATACTAGCAGGTGCTAATGTATCCTGCAGGATGTAGCCTGCAGCAGAGATGAAAAGCTTCTTTCTTTCTCCACACCCACAGATTTTTTTTTTTCCATTTTCAAACATGTCGTTTTCTGACCTGACCGACGCTGACTCAAACTCATCTCAACGTTAGCTTAACTGTCTCCATCTGTCACATGACCCTTGCTTTTGCAGCTGGAGGCGCTCTCTCTGTGAGCGATTCCTGTCTTGGTTTCCCTGACCTGAGATGCATGTGGGCAAAGTGAGAATAACAAGAGCAGTTGTGAATGTAAAAGGCCTGTGATCAGATGTCATGATCCAGATAACATATCTATGCAGTGGCCCGGAGAGCTCAATTTACTGCAACTTAAGAAAACACATGCAAATAAACAAACACGTGTTTCCAGCGGACACAAGTGTGTGTGTGTGTGTGGGGGGGGGCAGCGGCATGAAGGTCAAATCCTAACTGCAGTGGCTCAGGTTCAAGTTCAACCCGTGGCCCTGTGTGCCAGATCATCCTCTCTCTCTCTCTCTCTCTCTCCTTGTCTCTCTCTTGCTATCCGAATTAAGGCAAAACATAACTAGTGATGGAAAGTGATGAACCTACTGTAATGCACTTGTTATCCAGTGCTTTTAACTTCAAAAGTCACAAATGGGCATTGAACAACAAGTCCCAGCCAGGTTCATCACTTTTTAGTGTCCCCTGGAAACACTTCCGTTGTGTTGTAGGACTGATCTGAGCACGTTTGTTTATTTGCATGTGTTGTGATCTTTTTGCAGCGCATGTGTTGTCAAATTGATGAAGATGTTTTCTGAATTTGCAGCATGTTTGCATGTGTTTTCTTAAGTTGAAGTGCATTGAAATCTCAGAGCCAGCGTATATTGGATACTAAAACATGAAATAGTGAAATATTCTTTTTAAATCCCGATCTATCATATACATCATTGTTGTTGACATGCTGTACTCACATGTTTGATTTAGTCAAAAATGGATACAGGCTATTCACTCAGAGGAGAAACCCAACAGAAAACCCAAATTCACATGTTATTCCAATGACCCTCTGGTTCAGACAGGAACAAGCCTCTCCCACAGAGAATTGAGGCTCCGATGTTTGATGTCATCACGATACAAAACCTGGAGGTGGTCGACGGACAATAAATTACAGCCTGGCTTTGTGGAGTGCTTCTGTAGAAGTTTAATGTTTCGGTAAAGTTTTATTTCATTTCAGCGCAAAGCAGAAAAGGTCCTCCCATCTCCATAAAATCACCCTGGGTGCCATGATGCTGTCCACACTGCTGGTTCAGGATTTATCTCCTGATGACATTGTGAAGATTTGTTTGTTGATTTGTTTTTTGCACTGTTGTTGTAGTTTTTTGAGAATTAATCACAAATCTAGATTTTAACAGAACTGGAATAACATGTGAATTAAGCTTTAGGGTTTATTTTCCTCTTAGTTTCTGACAAATGGAGCAAACAACAATCATAGTAATAATGACATTTCTATTTCATAGCGATCATCCAGACCGGCATGATGACCTCAGGGAAGCCTTCCTGTTTCTCCACAGCCAGGACCTCTAAGCCGGCCTTGGCAATGATGCTCTGCATGATGTCCAGGTGGCGGCTGATGCTGCTGTCGATGGGGTCCAGCTTGCAGCCCTGCCGCGCCATGTTTTCCTTCATTATGATGACTCCATTTGGACGAAGGCTCTTCTTACATCGAAACAGGAAGTTCATCAGGTCCTTGTCTGTTAGGTGACCTGAAGAAGAAGAAGAAGACAGGTGTGGAACAAAAAGAAACAACTGAGAAACCGGTCCCTGTAGAGATCTTTGTTTCCAGTAGCTTTCCAACTAGTGTTTGCCAAAACCTGGCCAGGTAGATGTAGTCAGCAGCACTTCAAAGCACATAAAAACAGATTATATTGTGTTATGCACCAGCTGATTTACTGCAATCTGGTGGTTACGACAGGTACTGACATAAAAGAAAGAGAAAGATGATCTTTCCATTTCTTCCCCATGTATCCATCCAAGCAAACCAGGCCAGAAGACCTTCTTCCCAGATCTTCCTGAAGGATTCTGCAGCACTCCCAGGCCAGATGAGATAAATAATTTCTCGAGCATATTCTGGGACCGACCAGGAGTCTTGTTCCATTTGGACATGTCCAGAACACACAGGGAGACATCCATGATTGGATGCTGAACCCCTTCAACTCGAAGGAACAGTGAACAGCTGTAGTCAAAACTCCATCTGAGTGTTTGAGATCTTTATTCTACCTCTCAGGCTGAGTTCAGACACAGTGTGCCTGGTTTTATTAGTCTCTCATACTTATCTGAAGTAGAGGTGTTCGGTTCATGTACAAAAAAATTTTTAGCAACAAATTTTCAAATTTGTCACTGAATGAATCAGTAGCTTTTAGCAGTGAAGCTCAGACCATGTTATCTCCTTGTTAAAAGCTTATTTAAGAGACAGTGAAAGCCACAGAAACAATAATAATCTGATAAGTGTCAGGTATGGTATGGTATTATCCCACATCACTGCTCACTAGTAAACAAGAGCCTGATGTACTTGAACATCAAACCTGGATGTTGGACAATTAACCGCGTCCAAATTATACCACAGAACTAAAGGTGGTAAAGGCAAAGTACAATGTAAGCTGTTAACTACAGAAGGAGGTTAATCCAAGAATAGGATGAGGTACTAATGTTCTGTCACTTAAGAGTCAGTTATGTCAGGAGAGGCCCAGTGTCAAAAGTATTGGATGTTGCTCATCCAACAAACTAGAGACCAGACTTTGTGTCCTGTTGTGTTTGTTCATTTGAATAACTGCAACTATTCCCTCTCTTTTAGCTCTGTTTTTGGTCTCCACCACTTCCTGAGGGAAATATCTGGCTTTACCTGTGTCTGTCTGCTGTTTGCTGCTGAGCAGGTAGTGGACAGTGATCGAGAATGACGCTATGGGAGCGGTGGGAGTGAACCAGAACAGTCAAGTTGTGGTCCAGACAAATGAGCTGAAACTCACTGTCAAGCTCCATAAAGCTGAGGACGGCTGCAGATTCAGCTGATAGTTCTCTGTAGGTTTTCACACTTTCACACAGTCACATTGTTGATTTTTGTCTTATTGAAATGTTGATTACTGCTGCTTTAAGAAAATGTTGGTTTTGAATGTAATCTAGTTTTGCTAAATTGTCCAAAATTGACATTTTGTCTGGAGGTAGGGTTGAAATAAGGAGAGTCTCTCTTCATTAACTCAACATGACACTATTCTGCAGGTCTCCAAAGGTGCCACTTCATTCAAATCTCTCAGACTGGAGACTGGGACGCCTCTCATACTTACATGCCACCCACTGCATCCAGATCACGTCGTACTTGTTTTTCGGAGGCGTGAGTTCTTGCAGGTTGTAGCAGTAGTAGGTCTCAATGCGATCGGCGTCGTCGCCCAGGTACTCTTCGTGCGCGTGGAGCAGGAAGTGCTCCATCATGTCCGCCATCTCCATTTTCTCAAACACAGGAAGGAGGACACCTTTGCTCACACGCCCGATCCCGGAGCCACAGTCCAGGGCACAGTGTGTGCCGGCCTTACCAGGACCCTGGTGAAAAAACATTCATAAATGTTGCAAAATCCAGCCGTGTTTAGACGTTTCATAAAGTTGGTAAAATACCTTAACTGAAGACAGTTGTTTGAAATGAAACTGAGGCAGTCATGAAAAATAAGGCCTGAATTTACGTCTCAAAGAAAACAAAATGTACACTTAAATTTCTATTTCCCTGTAGCATGTATTACCATATCATATAGGGGTCCATACTATTCTCTGTGTTGCCAGATGTCAGGCCTCTGCACCTCAAAAGCACCGACACCACAAACAAGTAGACCTCAGTTCCTCGGGGCAGCAGAACTATGAACTTTACCACAGGGAAACAAAAAGCCTCCTAACTTGAATCACGCTGGTTTTTCTTCCTTTTCATTTGGTATTCTGACCTCACTCCAACCCCTCCACATCAGGGGCCCCAGTGTGTGATTGTATGAAAGATGGGGCCCCGAGGAGCTCCGTGCTTGTTACAGGATGCTTCCTGGTTTCGGTGAATTAGTGCCACATTGCTGTGTGTGCATGTAGCTCAGTTTAATCTGGATGTATTCTAAATCTTTTCCTGCCACACTTATTTTTAATGGAGATGTCAGGTTTAAACGGGAGCCTGTTCACAGCCAGAGAGGAGACTTTGAAAGACGATGATGTGTGGCTGAGCACACACTTGTAGAGGAGTTGTTGGAAGAGACTCTTATCATTCAAGATCTCTGCTTTCAAGTGAGGAGTTAAAAGTCAGTTTCAAACAAAACCAAAAACTCAAACATCACCAACTCTAAAGCCTCTAAAGAAACACGTACCACACAAGTATAAGATGACATGAATGCTTTTAAACTTGATTATGTAATGCAGTGCAACATTTCAAAGGGTCACGTCATTGGGATAGTATTCTCTTACACTGCGTCGACTACAAGTCTGTGTTCAGCCACACATCATTGTCCCTGGCAGTGATCAAGCTCCTGTTTAAACCTGACATTTCCATTGAAAGTAAGTGTGGTATAGGAAAATATTCAGAATGCATCCAGATTAAACTGAGCCACAAACTTTTGGTTTAAATTAAATTTTTTCGTATCCTCAAGCCTACTGTAGTGTTTACAAAGCGAAATTGCCAAAAGTGCTGGTTCAGAATTTGATCTGTGAATTTTTCCACTATGTTTTATATTTTCTAGATAAATCAATTCATCAAAAATGATCAACAGATTAATGAACAATGAAAGTCATTTGTTTTCTGCAATGGTTGCCAGTGAAACTTATATATTACAATATATTTTCTTGTAATAAATCAAACTCTGTAACCCATCACTGTCTCACGACAGACAGAACTTGAGTGCAGAGAACAGAAAACTGATATTTCACATATTAAATGTTCTGTGTGAACCAGTAGTCCTGTATGAACACTGTGTCACGACTGAGCTGTGTTAAATCAGGGCTTGTTGTGTTTACATTTGCACCAGTGAAAATGTGGCCACTTAGTCATCTGTAAGTCTTCTAAAGCATCCAGTCTTAGCAGTTTATAATAAGACCTCCTGTAAAATTGATCAGGGACTGGGCTATTTACAGCCCAGTCCCTGTGCAGAACCCATTCCCCTGAATTAGCACTCGGTCTCTACAAGCATCTAAAAAAAACCCCTCCTAACATCAAACCTGCACGCACATACAAAATATCAGATATACTGTATATAAGGTTTGACATGTAGCTGGTGCATCAGCATCAGCCAGTTATACACCACATTGTGATTTATGAAACAATAGTTAATTTTCAAAAAGAAAAAAATTAGAATGTTTTACTTTTCCACTGTGAACAAATTAGTGCTAGTAAAAATGACCATAGTACAAAGTGTTTAACAGCTGTTGGTTCTGTATGGGTGTTTATGGGGCCGGCATCAAGTCTGTGCCACTATTAGAAACTGGACTGAGGCCTCCACCCATACAGTCAGGACGATGAGCTCCTCAGCTCAAAATAGATCCTGACATGTGCATTCACAGATAGCTACAAGAGTGTAAATTGATACAGTAATGGACAAAAATCAGAAGCCACAGTGAAGTGGCTTCTGATTGAGTGATGGAGCAGCAGCAGAGCTTCAGGTTCCCTGCAGAGACTGAGCCTTTCATCTACGGTCAACTTGAATGTGAGGTAGTATTTTGTGTTTCTCAGCTGGACTCACCACAAACCTCTTCAGAAATTGCCGGGAGCCCTCCAGATCAATGTTGGAAATCTCCACAAAATCTCCCATCATGCCCTCCTCTGAAGCAGGCACGTCCTCATAGAACTGCTGAGCTCGGTAGTAAAACTGTTTCTCTCCTTTGATGTACTCACAGGTGACCGGGAACAGCTTCACTGTAAGGACACGTGGACAGACAGAAAGAGAAGTTAAATATTAAAAACATTCTTAATACTGGTCATTACTCTTTAAAGAGACACTAAACACCAGGATGAACAGTACTACAAACTAAACTAAAGGTCTGAAGACTCTAGAGGCCTTCTAGAGGTTCTTTAAAACGCAGATGACAAAAGTGTCGCCAGTGCATGTGATAATATCTGCATCTGCATGAATCAAATGTTTCAGCTTGAAATGTTACTGTTCCTGAGGCTTAATGTCTTAAAGGTCCCATATTGTATAAAGCTAGATGTCCATGTGTTTGATTATAAAGCAGGTCTAGCTTCTATATTAACACTGTGAAAGTATCAAAGCATTCAGTCCACAGAAAAATGCACACAGCCTGTGCAGCCTGTGAAACTGAGCCTTAAAACCAGCTGGAAGGACTTGTTACTTTGTGATGTCACAACAAAGCAGTCACCAAGCCCCGCCCACCTGGACCCACCATCCAACCTTGCAGAATTTGGTTTCTCTGAGTGTTTACCTGAAATCTACTATATTTTTATTCAATTACTCAGCCAATCAGAAGAGAGGCTCAGAGCCTCCTTTCTTCTGATTGGCTCACCAACCTGTTGTTACTAGAGCTCCAGAGAGAAGCCTGAGAGAGGAGATGTAAAACTATAGTACACTGAGATGGTTTTTGGTTCTTAAAACCACAAATATATCTTCTTATGGATCAACCGTTCAAATAAAAAACAGGGGAAATGTAAAATATGGGACATTGGAAAATCATCGCTGTGTATCAATCTGAATGCATCTTATGAGTCTTATCAGTAATGGGGCTACAAATGTAAGATTTGACCTGTGGGTGGCACTACAGCTCAAAACTCAAAGCTCAAAATGGTTCATCCTCTTGGGAGCATGAACGTGCTGAAGGGGTGTTTCTATATACTGTACTTATATTAACGATAACGTTAGATTGTTTCATCTGGTTGCCTTTTCACCATTCATTTAGTGTAATTGTTTATTTTGTTCACCTTTTTCAGTTATGTTTACAGACTCTGTCTTCACCGCTCTACATTTGTATTTAAATCTGATTCATTTACGGAAAAAGAGACAAAACACACAGTAAACTAAGTTAAAAATGAATTTGGCTGATTGTTTTAACTTTTTTTTTTTTTTTTTATTTTTTCAAATTTTTTTCTGTACAATATCAT